CGAGACCCCGATCGCGCGTTGTGCCGCTGACAGGGATGTGTGGGGTGTGCGCGAGTCTGTGGGCGATCCGGGTCGACCTGCTGCAGAAGGGAAAGTGAGAATTTCAACGTCAGTTCCTAACGCTTCACCTTCGGTTCTGAGCGCCGGCATTCAGGACTTCAGTGTGAGGATGCGGAACGCCCGGCGACATGCACAAAACTTGCACTTCTCCATTTAAAACGCGCTATTAGGGCTTCTTCCCCTTGACCTAACGCCTGTCATTCTGTTGTCTGTAGCTAGAGTCTCACTCTCTTGAAGACGGTGATGTATGTATTATGTATGTATGTATATGTACACACACACATACACATAAACAGTGCCTCACTATGTAGCTCCGCTTGTCCTGGAATTGTCTATGTAGACCGGGCTGGCCTCCAATTCACGGGAGATACGCCTGCTTTTGCTTCCCTAGTTATGGTGTTACGGGCCTGCAACAGGATGGCCAGCTATGGTGGTTTAATTTTTTTCCTTTTTTAAAATTTAAATATAATTTTAACTTTAATTAGAAACAAGCTTGTTTTACATGTCAAGCCCAGTTCCCTCCTCCTCCCCTGCCCCCCACCGATCCGCTGTCATATCCCCTTCTGCGCCCCAGGGAGGGTGAGGCCTTCCACGGGGGATCTTCAAAGTCTGTCATATCATTTGGAGCAGGGCCTAGACCCTCCCCAGTGTGTCTAGGCTGAGAGAGTATCCCTCTATGTAGGATGGGCTCCCAAGGTCCATTTGTGCACTAGGGATAAATACGGATCCACTAACAGAGACCCCAGACCTCCAAACTGACATCCTTGTTCAAGGGGTCTGGATCAGTTCTATGCTGGTTTCCCAGCTATCAGCCTGGGGTCCATGAGCTCCCCCTTGTTCAGGTCAGCTGTTTCTGTGGGTTTCTCCAGCCTGGTCTTGACCCCTTTGCTCATCACTCCTCCCTCTCTGCAACTGGATTCCAGAGTTCAGCTCAGTGTTTAGCTGTGGGTGTCTGCTTCTACTGGATGAAGGCTCTAGGATGGCATATAAGGTAGTCATCAATCTCATTATTGGAGAGGGGCTTTTAAGGTAGCCTCTCAACTATTGCTTAGATTGTTTTTGCTTTTTGTTTTTTTTTTAAGATTTTATTTATTATGTATACAGTCTTCTGCCTTCATGCCAGCAGAGGGCACAAGATCTTGTTCAAGGTGGTTGTAAGCCACCATGTGGTTGCGGGGGAATTGAACTCAGGACCTCTGGAAGAACAGTCTAGTGCTCTTAACCTCTGAGCCATCTCTCCAACCCTATTGCTTAGATTGTTAGTTGGGGTCAACCTTGTAGATCTTTGGACATTTCCCTAGTGCCAGATTTCTCTTTAAGCCTATAATGGCTCCCTCTATTATGGTTTCTCTTTTCTTGCTCTCTATTCTTCCCCTAACTCCCTCTCCCCTTCCCCCATGCTCCCAATTAGCTGAGGAGATCTTGTCCCTTTTCCCTTCTCCAGGGGACTGTGTATGTCCCTCTCAGGGTCCTCCTTGTTTCCTAGCTTCTCTGGCAGTGTGGATTCTAGGCTGGTAATCCTTTACTCTATGTCTAAATCCGAATATGAGTGAGTACATACCATGTTTGTCTTTTTGTGAGTGTGTGAGGGGGTGGGTTTTTTTTTTTGTTTTTGTTTTTGTTTTGTTTTGGTTTTGGTTTTTGGAGACAGTGTTTCTCTGTATTGCTTTGGAGCCTGTCCTGGAACTCTCTAGACCAGGCTGGCTTCAAACTTACAGAGATCAGCCTGCCTCTGCCTCTGCTTCCTGAGTGCTGGGATTAAAGGGGTGTGCCACCCAAGCCTGGCTCTGATTTAATTTTTTAAACATTAAACTAGGCTTAGTAGCTCACGCCTTTAATCCCAGCACAGTTGAATCTCTGAGTTCAAGGCCATCCTAGTCTACATAGTGAGTTCCAGGACAGCCATAACTAAGTAGTGATACCCTGTGTGCTGGTTGGTTTTGTGTCAACTTGACATAAGCTAGAGTCTTCAAGAGAGAAAGGAGCCTCAATTGAGGAAATGCCTTCATGAGATCCAGCAGTAATGCATTTTCACTATTAATGATAAATGGGAGAGGGTCCAGTCCATTGTGGGTGGTACCAATTCCTGAGCTGGTGATCCTGGGTTCTATATGAAAGCAGGTTGAGCAAACCATGGGAAGCAAACCAGTATTAACACCCCTCCATGGCCTCTGCATCAGCTCCTGCCTCCAGGTTCTAGCCCTGTTTGAGTTCCTGTCCTGACTTCCTTCAATAATGAACAGCAATATGGAAGTGTAACCTAAATAAGCGCTTTTCTTCCCAACTTACTTTGTGGCCATGTTGTTTCATCAAAGTAATAGAAACCCTAACTAAGACACTGTGTCTCAGAAAAAAATTTTATGTTATACAGACCTGGCAGCAGTATTGGAACATAGATGAGGGTTGTGATAACCTTGTCTCCTTTTGTCAGACAGTGGACTGGTTACAGTCTGGAAAGCTGTTTTCAACCTTTTAAATAGCTGGGTGCCGGTAAATTATCTCTGCCACCCTCCTTATGAGGTTCAGTGATTTTTTTTGGGGGGGGGTGAGACAGGGTTTCTCTGGCTTTGGAGGCTGTCCTGGAACTAGCTCTTGTAGATCAGGCTGGTTTTGAACTCACAGAGATCCGCCAGTCTCTGCCTTCTGAGTGTTGGAATGCAGTGATCTTTTTCTCAGAATTTTTGTAGATTTCAGTTCTGTGTCTGGTGAGTTAAGTGGCTGTGTTTGCAAAGCAGATGCTTCTAAGTGCTGATGTGTCTTGCTGTGAGGATCGGTTTGTGAGTGACTAAAACATACACAGCACACTCACTATTCTTTCCATTCACCGCCCTGACAACCTGTTTCTTTTAGACAGATCTGAGCATTCTTTTAAAAGGAATAATGCTATATCACCTCCTGGACGATGTTCAGGAGGCTGTAGAATATTAGCCCTCCATAGGGGAAAAAATAAACATTTAAGTGATATCCATCCATCCATTTTCCACTCTGAAATTCATGTTCATTTATAAGGGGTGAGTACTTCTCCTTTGTTTGACTTGGCAAACCTTGAAACACTCACTACACTTCCCAGTTGCCGCTAGCTCTCAGCAGCCTCACCCACCCCTTGGAATAGCTGTGCTGGTGTGGGATACCACCATAACTCCCTCCTCTGTAGAAAAGAGAAGGTGCATGCTGAGGACAGGCAGCAAGAGATTGTGAGACAAAGTTCGGATGTGGGCAGATGTCCCATGCCAGTCCTGGCACTGGCTCATGATGTGGTTTTACAAACCTAGGGCCTGGGCTTTCCCAGTTGTAAAATGATCTGGCCACTGTTAGATTGAATAATAGAGTGGATGTGCTATTGTGTGCTCAGAAGTGCCAGTGAAAACGAAAACAGTAAACCTTATGAGCCAGGTGTGGTGGCTCATGCCTGTCATCCAAGCACTGTCAAGCTAAGGCTTTGAGCTTCAGGGCAGCCTGGGCTACAGAGTAAGACCTTGTCTCAAAACAAAAATAAAACAACAAGTGAAATAGTGGTAGTGTTGTAAGTTTTTAAATTTTATTTAGTTTTTGAGAGGCTGGCCCAGAACTCACATTGCCTCCACCTCCCAAAAACTTAAAGGTGTGCATCACCACGCTTAGCTAACTCTTTAATTTCCAAAGTTCAACTATATAGACATTTATTATTGATAGTTCATAGTTCAAACTAGCTTTTCTTTCTTTGTGCTTAATTGCCAGAGAGCTTCGTCTTTGGTTTAGAGTTAAAGCAGTCAAAGTGTGAGAGAATTTACAAGCTATATATTGTGTTGCTTAAAATAATATCTTTTTGCCGGGTGTTGGTGGTGCACACCTTTAATCCCAGCACTCGGGAGGCAGAGGCAGGTGGATCTCTGTGAGTTCCAGGCCAGGATGGGCTCCAAAGCTACATAGAGAAACCCTGTCTCGAAACCGCCCCCCCCCAAAAAAAAATTCTTTTTTTAATGTGGATGTGTGTTCTGCCTGTATGTATGTCTGTATTCCAGAAAAGGCTCTTGGCTCCTCTGAAACTAAAGTTACAAATGGTTGTAAGCTGCCTTGTGGGTTCTGGGAAGAGCAGCCAATACTCTAACCCTTGAGCTGTCTGGCCAGCCCCTTAACTTGTCTTTCTGAGAATAACAGGGTAAGAAATGGCCAGTAGGGCACAGACCTAGCATGGGTAATATCCTGGTTTGTTCCCTCCTTGCACAGAAAACAGGAGCGTAAACTACTCCTTGCTACATATTAGCAAGTTTGAAATAGACATTTTAAGCTAAGTATGGTAACATATGCCTTTAGTCCCAGCACTAGGGAGCCGATGGCTGCTGGAAACCCTTACTGGGGGTGGGGTTGGGGGAACCAAAAGAACAACAAAAGAAACATTTTATATCGACTTACATGTAATTAGATACAGTAGTTTAGGTTAAACTGACAGGCACAGAGGGGAACTCCACTTACTTTGCAGAACACCTCCGTAGATTAGGTAATATGTAAAGCATTTTAAACTGTGATGTGATTTATTGATTTACAGTTTTACTTTCAAGGATGGCACAGAAGAAATATCTTCAAGCAAAATTGACCCAGTTTCTAAGGGAAGATAGAATTCAACTTTGGAAACCTCCATATACTGATGAAAATAAAGAAGTTGGTTTGGCCTTAAAGGTATTTTTCTTTTAATATGTAATGTAAATCTTTTGCAATGTCATAACTCCCTTAGTAAATACTAGTCTGGAGTCCCCAGAAATTATCAGGCACAGCTGTGAAAATTTTTAGAAGCACTAAAACCTTTAGTAAAGAACAAATTTAATTTTTAATTTTTAAAAATTTAATTTAATTTTTTTCAGCACTAAAGGTAGAACCCAGGGCTTCACACATGCTAGGCAAGCTCTTTACCACCAAGCCACACCCCCAGTCCTATTATTGGCATTTCATTCTCTTTCTTTTGGTTTTCGAGACAGGGTTTCTCTGTGGCTTTGGAGGCTGTCCTGGAACTAGCTCTCTTGAACTCAGAGATCCGCCTGCCTCTGCCTCCCCAGTGCTGGGATTAAAGGCGTGAGCCACCAACGCCTGGCTGAGATCCTATCTCAAAGAATATATTTTTAAAAATATAGTAAATATCATTGATATTGGTATATTCTTCCCATCTTCTCCTAATGACTATTTAAAATGTATTATGAGTAGGAGTTTGTCACACACACACCACAAAACCAAGGGACTGGAGAGATGGCTCAGTGGTTAAGAACACTAGCTGGTCTTCCAAAAGCACTGAGTTCAATTCCCAGCAACCACATGATGGCTCACAACCATCTTTTCTGGCCTGCAGGGATACATGCAGGCAGAACACTGTATACATAATAAATAAATAAATCTTTAAAAAACAAAGCAGTGGGCGTGGTGGCTCATGCCTTTAATCCCAGCACTGGGAAGGCAGAGGCAGGTGGATCTCTGAGTACGAGGCCAGCCTGGTCTATAAGAGCTAGTTCCAGGACAGCCTCTAAAGCCACAAAGAAACCCTGTCTCGAAAAACCTAAATAAATAAATAAACAAATATTTTTTTAAAAAATAAGCAAAACGAAAAAACCTAACCAAATAAAAAAGGTTATTTAATCTGTCTTGATCTCATACAGTTTGAAAAATTAGAATTTTTTGCTTTAAATTTTTTCCCATCCAATGACAATGAATAGTTCACTGTTTTAAAAAGATTTTTATATTTATTTCATGTGTGAGTATTTTTAGTGCATGTATGCACCACATGTGTGATTGGTGCCCTTGGAAGTCAGAAAGAGGGAAGACATTGGATCCCCTGGCACTGGAGTTACAGATGGTGGTGAGCTACCCTATGGGTGTGAGGAGCTGAACCCAGGTCTCCTGCAAGCTACAAATGCTCTGAATCCCTGAGCCGTCTCTCCAGCCTCCACAACTTAAAAAAGTAGTTGTGTGTGTGTTTGTGCATGTACACACAAGTTAGAAGTCAATTTGGAACTTGATTCTCTCCCATCATGTAGGGCCCAGAAACTGAACTCAAGGCAACAGGCGTGGCTGCAGGTGCCTTTACTTGTTGAGCCATCTCAGTGGCCCTGGTTCACTGCTCCTTAAAGTACTTTCTAATATATTAAGGCCATAAGGGTCTCAGCCCTCCTTTCTGTCCCCCGGAATAATCCCAGTTACTCTCATTTTGCTACGGAAATGTTTACTATTTGTAAGTGCTTTAATTTCTCCCTGAATCCTCCCTGGGAGCTGAGATTGAATTTCAGTATGAGGGGGCCTCCGCTTGTCAGTTACGTTGCTTTGGGGAGTTTTTTCTTTCCGTATTTTTGCACTGGAGCTCTGGGGAGCTGCAGCCTGGTCTCTCCTCCCAGGACCTTGTTAAGAAGTACTCTGACCGCCTCGAGTGCTGTGAAGATGAAGTGGAGAACGCAATAGAAGAGATCCGCTGCAAAGCAGTTGAGCGCGGCACAGGGAATGAGCACTACCGAGCAACCGGGATTGCCACAATCGAGGTGTTCCTGCCTCCCAGACTCAGGAGGGTGAGTAACGCCCGCTGCACATGTCCTGCTGTAATTGAGTTGTTGGTTTGTTCGGTTTGGCTTTTTGAGACAGGGTCTCTCTGTGTGGTCCTGCTGTCCTGGAACTTCATATACAGACCCGATGACTTTGAATTCCCAGGGCCTACTCTGTCTGTGCTTCCCACGTGCTAGGGCTAGAGCATGTGCCACAGTGCCCAGTGAGCGCTTGTTTCTGTAAATCTGCCAGAGAGTGCTTAAGGAACTGCAGGTGTTGAATGGTGATGATACATTTAAGGTAGCTTGTTCTTTAAAACATCAGTCACAGAAGTGGGGGGCATGGTAGTGCCGTTGTAATCTCACCAGGGAGACTGAGGCAGGGTTATCCTCAGCTACACAGTGAGCTCAAGGCCAGTCCATGGGCCAGTGAGATGGCTTAGCAGGTAAAGGCTTTTGTCATCAAGCCTAATGACTGGGATGTGTTCCTCAGAACCCAAACGGTAGAAGGAGAACTGACTCCTACAAGTTGTCTTATGATCACAAGTGCTCCATGGTGTGATAGTGCTAAATTAATAAATGTAACTTCAAAAAATTAAAAAAAAAACCATGTACAGAGCTGTGTGTTTGTACCTTTTCTAGTTTAATGATTACAGATACTGAGAAGTAGGGCTGGAGAGATGGCTCAGAGGTTAAGAACACTGGCTGTTCTTCCAGAGGACCTAGGTTCAGTTCTCAGCCCTCACAGTACAGCTCACAGCCATCTTTAACTCCAGTCCCGGGGTGGTCCAATGCCCTCTTCTAGCTTCCTTGGGCATCACACACACATGATACACAGACATACATGGAGGGAAACACCTGTACAAGTAAAATAAACGTGACGGGAAATAAATTTTAAGAAGTCAAAGTAGACAGCAGGTTTTAGAGTCCTATGTTGCAGGACACTCCCTGAAGAAGTCCTATTCTGATGGATGGACCGTAGTCAGCTAAGTGCTGAACAGGACTAGCCCCTTGTCACAGGGCCTCATCCTCAGGTAGTACGTGTCAGCATGTTTTCCTGGCAAGCACTTTACAGCCTTCTCAGAACCAAACAATGTTGACCATTTTCAAAATTTGTATGTGGGCAGGTGAGATGGTTCAGCAGTTAAAATGCTTGCCAGAAAGCCTGTTGATGTCATTGGGATTCCCCGGCATCCACATTAAAGGCAGGAGAGAACTGCGACCACAGCCCTGTCCTCTGATCTTCACAGGCGTGCCATGGCACACCCACATGTCCTCTCTGCCCCAACACGCGCGCGCACGCGCGCACACACACACACTTTTTTTCAAAGGCAGGAAAAAACAACGCATGTTACAAAACAGTAAAAGTGCCTGCCATGCAAGCATGAGGACTTAAGTTCAGATCCCTAGAATCCATGTAAAAAGCCAGGTGTGTAAGGGTTCCTGTAACTCAACCCCTGAGTGTTATAGGCTTACAGGGATGTGGATGGATCCCTGAAGCTCACTGGCCAGTGAATCAATGAGAGACTCTATTTGGGAGGGGAAAAAAAAAAAGAACTCTGAGTTCAAGGCTAGTCTGGTCTACAATTTAAGTTCCGGAGAGTCAGGGCTACACAGAGAAACCATATCTCAAAGAAACCAAAAAAAAAAAAAAAAAAAAAAAAAGAAAGAAAGAAAGAAAGAAAGAAAAGAAAAGGGAAGGGAAGGGTAGATAGTAATCAGGGCACCTGTCACCAGTCTCTGGATCTCACACACATCACACATGTGCACTCCCAATAACACATGAAACGCAAGAATAAACTGACTGGTGAGCATTCACAGTAGCACCACTCATGATGGCTGAGAGGGAGAAGCCTAACTGCCATCAGTGGATGTGTGGATAAACAGATACACCCACGCCACAGAAGACAGCTGGTGGCACAGATACACAACACAACACTAATAGTCTGCAATATGAGCCACCTCAGAAACGTGCAGAAAAGGCCTGACGCTCTGTGGTCTCCTTCAGTGAAGAGTCCAAAATAGACAACTTTGTAGACAACTTTTCTATTTTGTCCAAAATAGAAAAGAAATGGTTGCAAGGCTGGGAAGAAGAGGGATGGGGTGTAGGGCATGGTACCTGGTGATAGGTGGTGAGTGGGGAATGTTCAGAAATTCTATTAAACATTTCATTGTCTTAGGATTTTTTTAAAAGATTTTATTTATTTATTATGTATACAATATTCTTCTTCCATGTATATCTGCACACCAGAAGAGGGCACCAGATCTCATAACGGATGGTTGTGAGCCACCATGTGGTTGCTGGGAATTGAACTCAGGACCTCTGGAAGAGCAGTCAGTGCTCTTAACTTCTCTCCAGCCCTGTCTTAAGATTTTATTTGTATTTTTAATTATATATAAGTATGTGTCTCTGGGTTTGTGCATGTAAACAAAAGTGCCCCCAGAGGCCAAGAGTAAATTAAATTAGATCCTCAGGGTGGATTATAGTCAGGTGTGAGCTGCTCGAGTGGATGTTGGGAAGTGAGCTCAGGTCCTCTAAAAGAAGTATATGCTCTTACCACTGAGCCATCCCTCCAGTGTCATGCACTTTGATGATGATGGCTGGCCATGTGACAAGTCCCACTGAGCACTCAAGGGGTACTCAGGTCACTCTGTCAGTCTGTGCTGGACTGTGTTTATGCTTCTCTGTACAGGCAGTGGTTTGTCCTTAAGTAGAACCCGAGTTTACATCCTGTCACAGTACCCTACAACCTTACATGCAGGGTAGCAGTCCAAAGAAGTGTCACACTCAAGTACATTTAGTTTTGTCTTTTTTCAACAGGACAAGAAAAGTTTATTGGAGACCCGCTTACATGTCACTGGTAGAGACCTGAGGTCTAAGTGAGTATCTGAGCTATGTTTCCCAACAGGTTTGCCCCTCTTACCCTGGTTCATTGAATGCTCTCAAGCTGTCCTGTAAGCGAGGGAGCCAGCCTGTTTTCCTCTTACAGCTGAAGAAATGAAACCTGGAGGGTGGGACAAGAAAGAGGTCATTCTGGGTTCACACACTGCTAGGTAAGAGGCAACACGGACAAGAAAGAGGTCATTCTGGGTTCACACTGCCTGAGTGAGACCTGCTCATGGCTGCCTGAGTGAGACCTGCTCATGGGAGCTTCTTGGATGCAGTGCAGCTTTTAGAGGGGTTCAGCTTGGGGCCCACAGAGGAGGTGCCCAACTTGTACCTGAGTGAGTAACTGAGGAATAGAAGCAGGAGCCATCTTTTCACTGAACAGAGCATGTTTTATAATTCCATTCTTTTTTAGCACTAATTGTTTGCTGTGACCTTCATTCAGCAAAGGCCAGTCAACCCAAGTGTTCTGTTGGAGAATGAGGAAGCATCACTCATTCAATGCCCACAAGTAGGCAGTGGTATGGGACAGTTGCAGGGTTCTCAGAGGATGCTGGGAGAGTGTGACTCAGATGGACATCCTCAGCTCAGATACAAGTTTAGAAAGAGCTTGGCTCACTCAGCTCCCAGCAGCTGCCACTGCACCAGCTTTATTGTAGTCGTGTTTACAGGTCAATAGGTGAATAGCCTGGGTGTTTCTAAGTAAAAACCTATTAAGTGGCCATCATGATCCAAGTCTTCATAGTAGGTAACAAATAACAGATTTGCTTCCTGCAGCTTATACTGTGTTTATTTTATAGAATAGCCGAAACTTTTGGATTTCAAGAAAATTACATCAAGATCGTAATAAATAAGAAACAACTTCAACTAGGTATGTCATAGCAAAGAATGCATCTGATGTATAAGTAGTGACTTTCCATTTTTTTGTATTTTTTTCTTGCTTTTCCTCTATTGAAAACTTCCTGGCCATGTTGCATTTATTATCCAAAGTCAATTAATGTTAAAAGTTTACCATAATGAAGATGTAAAGCAGAAAAGGACATTACAATAAATATTCACAGGCCTGCTCTGGGTAGTGGGGAAGAAAGACATTGATTTCAGCCACAAGAATATTCCAGAATGGAAGTCTGTGCTGAGAGGAGGATCTGGGTTACTCAGTTCTCTCTATGACCCTGAGAGAGACGGGTGGACAGGCCAGGTTGGAACACTCTGCGGACAGCCAAGGAAACTGAGTGTAGGGTAGAGGCCTTTCTGAATGTAGAGAGCAAATGGGCCATGGGAGTCTTCCGGCAGTGAGTCTCTGCCGGGGAAGACAGTTTCACCTTCCAAGGGACAGCTGACTTTGTGAGGAGACGATTTTGATTATAATTAGTTGGGGGTGGGGGCTGCACGCCTATCAGTGGCTGCCAAATGCAAGACAGTCCCCATCACCTCACAAAAGCCCCACGTCACAGGTATCTGCCCCAGATGGTGAGTGCTGCTGAGAAGCCTGCGACAATGAGCTTTGTTCAGTATGGAGTTTGTCCTCAGAGAGATGGGGGTCACTGATACTGCAGAGTGCACACAGGGACATTGTGGCTTACAGACCACTGGCTGCAATCTGCAGGAGGCATGAGTGGAAGCCGAGATACATTATCTCTTTAGCAGCTCAGGTGGTTCATGAGGGCTCATGGATCTCCAGGGGAAGTCCCTAGAACCCTAAGTTTCATCTTTCTTTCTTTCTTTCTTTCTTTCTTTCTTTCTTTCTTTTCTTTCTTTCTTTCT